TTTGGGCCAATGCTCTCAGCTGCTTCGAGGTCAAAACGACCCCAAGTGGGGAGGAGGCGACAAGTGAGGACCCACGGCCGACGGATGGGGCTGATGTTGGAGGTGGCACCTTTGTCCAAATTAGGGTCTCTTTTTGGGTCCCTAATGTAGTACGGCACCTATTATTTAAGGTGCCCAAAAAAGGGACCCTAATTTTGATAACCACCCAGGTGGAGCCCCAGCAGACCCGGCAGCGAAGTTCGAGGTGCTGTCAGTCCCGCTTGAGGGGCCAGAGCTGGAGGTAAAGAGCTTCGACAATGCCAAGGTGATGATTGTCAAGAAGGACAAGTGCTACTATCTGAAGGCGACCTTGGACGTGAACCTGCCTCGAGGCTTCCGCATCGCTGGAGTGGGCGGCGGCCGCATGAGCCAGCAGAAGGCCGATCCTTGCATTCAGCTGGAGATGCCCCAGGGGGACAAGACATGGGTGGATGTGTCCCATGGTGTGGAGGACGGCGAGGAGGGGGTCAAGCGAGGCACGGAGCACCGTTCCAGCCTCTACCAGGTGGTCAAAGAGCTGCACAAGAGTGGTGCCAGCAAGGAGTTGTCCTGCACGGGCTACAAGATCGGGACCAAGGCGGCCGGATCTGGTGGGACGCACGGATTTGCACTTACCAAATCCGATGACTGGTACTACATCCTTCGCGACAAGGACGAGAAGAAGCTCACTCCCGGGAACATGGTTCCGTTGTTGCACTGGCAGTGGGGTTTTTTCACATGACTCTGTGGAATGCTGCTTCAGTCCTGTTTCTCTTCCTGTTGTGTGCCCAGGCCAGAGAGCTCGTCCTGAAGGGGTGCCGCCTGAGCTCCAATGTTGTTTGGGCCTGGAAGTTCTCTTTTGATCCGGTGCACACCAAGCTGACGGCAAAAAAGCCGATGATGATTTTGGATCAGTCGGTGCGCTTGCAGAATGGCAAGTACATCAAGCTTGCAGAAGAAAGCTCATGAGCAGGTTCTATGGACAACTCCAGAGCTTCACATTGAGATTCTGACATATCTTAGGCCTCCCGAACAGGCTAGTCCAGAGCCTACCCATGGACTGACTTCTTGAAGCTGTTCGGACCTCCCGAGCTGTATGAAGTCATGGCTGTGGCTTGGGTCAGTTCAAGCCCAGTGATATGAGCAAAAGCTTAGTCTCTGTGACTTTACCTATGTGTTTAGCCTGGCCAGGCTTCTTTCTCTGCAGCTCCGCAGCAGGCAATTTTGACACACAGTCCATTTTGACACAGGACGATTTAAGACAGCGGTCACCACTCAGCAGAGACCACCAGTGCTGCAGAACCCCAGCTCTCTTACAGCATGCATGTAGGTAGGGGTCAGCTCATCAGGGCAGGGGGCAGGGGGCTTGCAACAGACACTGGGCAGAACCCGAGCAGATCTTTACAGGCAAAAAGCTGTTTGCATCGTCCAGGTTTACAAGATGTGTTTGAGTGCTGTAGAGAGATCCATGTGGAGCTTTGAAGAACCTTTCGTAATCTGCGTGCATGGCAAGGCTGCATTTGATCGAGTGCACACATGACTGTCTGTCGTCTTGCTTTTATCCTGCCAGGTGCTCTGCTTCGGAAATGCCGGTAGCTTACCTTGCCAAGGTTTCTTTTAGATTCGGTGTGAATGCTTTGAAACATCACATGCATTGCAGTGCTTGCATTTCTTCCGATGAGGGCAAGTTGGGGCTGCTTGCCACTGCTTGACGCCACTGATGATTTCTGCTTCGATCATGCCTTGTGGTTGTGTCGGGCATGGCTTTGAGCTATCACGGTTCTGAGTGCGGCAAATTATCAGTATGTTCAAATCGCATGCATTTCCGACTAGAGCTGCAGTGTCATGCTTCAGGTTGCTCAAGCAGCTCATGGCAGGAGCTTCATAAGCATCTAGCTCTGTCGGTTCCCTAGATCCAAGACATCAGAGAATTTCCCGAGAGCTGTGAAAGCCTGCCTCTGCACCGGGAATCGCCATGTCCGATGAATCAACCTCAGAGCCTGCAGTGCAAGAGACTGCTTCAAGGGCCAAAGGACTCCAGCTGAGCTTTGGCCGCCAACCAAAGCTCTTACAGTGTCTCAGATGCGAGCCACCAGGACAAAGGAGGTCCAGAGCATCAAGTTCCAAGATCCAGCCAGGACTTGCATGTCGTCATGTTGCAGCCTTACAGTGGCATACCTGCTGTACCAGTCAGGACACAGACAGCTTACCGGAGACGAAGCAGCCTCAGAAGTAACAACAGAACCTGAGGATAGCCCAGAAACCATTCGCATTGAGAAAGCAGAGAAGGATTGGGCAGAGAGGCAGAAGAAGAAACGAAAGGCTGCTGCACCTCACTCAAGCTCAGACTGTGAAGAGACTGGCCAGCCCAATCCCGGCTTCAGAAGTTCATGCTGCACTGATTTCCTGAGCTACGTGCTCGGCAATGTCCTCTCCACTGCAGAGCTGCGGAAGTTGAGATCCAGAGAAGTACATTTTGCAGAATTCTGTGCTGGAATGGGTACCGGTTCCCAGTCATTGGTTGCTCGTTTTGCATCGTCGCTGTGTGTTTAGTTGCAGATGCTCTTCGTCTTTGATGTATGTTGCAGCTTGACCCGAGGAGATTCTGCGCAAAGTTTTGCAGCAGGATCATGATGTATCGGTCATCCCAAAACCTTGTTTTTACACCGAGCTTGTCAAGTGGAAGCGCGATGTGCTGCAGAATATGTTGGCAGCACAGGGGCACGAGTGGGAACACATTCCCGAATCTTGGCAGGATGTGGGATGCTCTTTAGGGCTCTTGGTTGATTTGCAAAGTTCACCAATCACGAGCAGGGTGATATGATTATTGTCAGATGGTTAGTGGCCTACCAAGGTGTATGGGGCCACATCCGAACTGCAGGCAGTGCCCAGAGAATCCATGCCAGCACTTTCCCTGGCCATTGTCGGTGTGGAGTGTGATGATATCTCGTGCCAGACCTCTTCGCCGAAAAGCATTCTAGATGCTAAGGGGCACAGTGGAAGCAGCTTTCTTCAATTCCTTGAGTTCATCCAACGCTTGGAATGGTCCCAGAGACCAGTTGGCATCATGTGGGAATGTGTGAAAAACTTGGACGCTCACAGGAAGACTGTGAATGAAAAGGGAACAGAAGTCATCAAGGACCTCATGCGCAAGCAGGGGTATGTGTCGAGCTTCCAGGCAGCTTTTCCAGAATCATTTGTGCAACAAGTTGAGGCTTGCAGCTCATGTTTGCTTCAGTGGCCTGCCCTTGAGGTGGTCAACTCGAAACATTTTGCTTTGCCACATAGCAGGAACAGGGTCTATGGAATCAGCTTGAAATTGGACCTGGCGGCAACTTGGCCTGCAGAATGCAAATCAATGAAACAGGCCAGCTTGTTCTTTCATTGACCACCTTGAGATCCCAGGCTCCGGGGGCTGAGCGGAAAGCTGGAGAGAAGCTCTCGTCAGCGTGGCGACTAGTCAGACGGTGTCAAGTGCAATGGCACGAGCCTTTGGTGGATTTGTGGCAGAGAGCTACTGATAAGCAAGCAGCCTAGCTGAACAAGCATATTGCTTGGGCAGTCAGTGTGGGATACATGTTTCTGTTCCAATTTGCTAGTGTGCAGGAACTTCGGAAACGACAGATGGCAACCGGCAGGGCAGCATCTTCTCAGAAATGGCCTGCAGACCATGCAGCTTACAAGGAGAAGCACAACATCACAGAAAAGGATCTACAAGTTCCACAGGTCAGATGGGTGCATCAGTGTTCCGGCCTCAGCATTCGGGTGGTTCTTGAACCTCAGATTGAAGGCCTTCTGCTTGCACAAGGCTTGCAGGAGCTGGATTTGCCAGAAAGAGAATTGGAAGCAACCCATCTGTCCTTTGCCAAGCTGCGCAAGACATGGGGCCATGAATCTTGCTCTGCAAAAGGTTGTAAACCATTCGGTGTCAATGTATGACCTCCTTGACTGGTCCGGTGTGACAAACCAAGGACATCGACCAGTCTCTCCTGTGTCTTGCATTCATTTTGGCAGCTTGAAGGGGTTGCTGATCGCTGGGTGAAGTTGACATATAGTTGGCAGCAGCGGCCCAGGTTCGTCGTCCCCAGCGGAGACACTTTGCAACGACACAAATGGAGAACAGTGCACCCATGCCTTCTTCCGCAGAAGCGGGTTTTGTACTTGGACGAGAATGGGCTGCACCTGAACAAGTCTCCGACGTTTGTGATGAGCCTGCAAGGCCTGTCAAGCCGTGAGCTCAAAGCGGCACGCCTGACAGATCTTACAGTCAAGCAGGCCCAAGAGCTCGCTGGCAATGGTTTCACAGCCAATGTGGCTGCCAGTGTATTGGTTTCCATTCTGGTGTACATCCTGCAATAGCCAATCAGCTGCTTTGAGTTGCTGTTCAATCCGGAAAAGCAGAGCCATTGCAATCGCAAGTGTGCCGAATGCTAAACGCAGAGCTTACACAGGATCAAGGGTCTACAGATCACATCTTCGTGAAGCAAAACTGAAGAGACCTTGTCGGAATCACCAGTCAGAGGGAATCGAGAGGCACTAGGCAAATGAACTAATGTTCCTCAGAACGTGCATTTTCGATACAGGCTGCAGCGGCGGCATGCTTCAGTTGGACCAGGTGCGTACAGCTTGCTTTGAGAGCAGCATTGTTTGATTGAAGAAAGCAGGAATGGAGATTGTTCACGAGCATGTCCACTGCTTGCTGCCTGCGCAGCTTCGTTTCTCAAGCAGTGCACAGCAGGAGCCTGATAGACATGAACCCGTTTAGCCCCACAGTGGTCCAAAATTGCGAGTGTGAAAAGATGACGCACCACAGAAACCACTTACCCGAGCCTCAACCCGAAGACCTAAACCCTATAAATCCACCAGGACTTGCCGAAGGAAAGTAGATTGCTAGGAGCATGAACTTACTCCTCATGAGTCCTATCGGAGACACCGGTAGCCATGATGAGTTTCGCAAACAAGTTCTCTGCATCTTTGCAGACATGCAGGAAGCTGCAGAAGCAATGCTTACATTGCAAGCACAGAGCCTTCTCGGCATGATAAGAAGTGAAGCTTTCCATGCCCCACACACACACACACCGCAACTACCCTGCACTCATTGAGGCTGCTACGAGAAGGCGGCCCCTTATGTGAACGAGCTACAAAAGTACTCGACCCAGCTTCATCAGCTTGATCGGGCTGCAGCCGACCGAGACATCCTCTGGATTTTTAGCAGGTCTGCAATGGTATCAGACCGCGAAGAGAAGCAGAGCAATAAGAGGAAGCTGCAGTCCTCCTCGGCTGTCAGAATGGCGAAGAGAAGGAGAAGGAGCTCCTCCACCAGCCCTGCACCTCATGAATATGAGAGGAAGGTGCAGTCCTCCTCGGCTGTCAGAATGGCGAAGAGAAGGAGAAGGAGCTCCTCCACCAGCCCTGCACCTCATGAACATGAGAGGGAGGTGCAGTCCTCCTCAGCTGTCAGAGTGGCGAAGAAACGGAGAAGGAGCTCCTCCACAAGTTCTGCACCTCATGAAAATGTGGGCCCAGATGAGGTGACCAGTGATCCAGAAGGTACTTCTGAGCCCGGCCATGCAGATCAGGCTTGCGAATCAACTTCTGAGCCCGAATCTGATGAGTTGGACCTGCAGTCCAGCGAGGACGGCAAGCCTTCGAAGCCCCAGAAGAGGAAGCACTACAAAACAAGGATTGCTACCAAGAGGCCCTCTGTACAACTGGCAGGCATCGTCCCTGCAGATGACTTGAAAGTTTGCCTGAAGAGTGCATATGCCTTTCTTCGTGCAGCTCATCTGGAGTGTGAGTTTCCCTGCTTAGCTTTGCCCAGGTTAGGGATACATGTCTTGATAGTCCGAGCCCTGAGCCCAGGTGGGTGCATCTCGGGTACACAGAGTTGCCAGGACTGCAACATGCAAGACGTTTGTTAGCTTCATTGACTCCTTTGTTGCTGGGCCACTTCACTGAGATCACAAGGTATTGCAAGGGCAGCCAGACAGGCGCCGTGAGGCAAACTCCATTCGGTCGAAGAACCCGGCCAGCTCTCCCATGCTGCGGGTTTGCAAGCTCTTTTTGTGGCATCGGTACCAGTTCGATGCTGAAGGCATGCCAGACAAATTCAGATTCGAGACAAGCCCTGTTGGCAGCCACAGGACTACAATAGTGCATTCGTCCCTCCTTCCAACAGCTTCAGTTTGTTGTTTTTGTAATGTGACATGCTTGTAATCAAGCTTGAGTGTGGCGATGTGCTGCAGTTCTGAAGGCAGCAGCAATCGGCAGCGAGAAGTGGGTCGTCCTCCTCTTCGGATGTGGATGCTGCTGAAGATGCTGAAGCTCGTGCAGTGGCATCGTGCTCGCTTCAGTGCTGCTGTTTACTGGAAGCGCCTGAAAAGGTGCTGACCGGTCCAGGTGTCGGTGCAGGTGCAAGACGGTACCTGGGTGTGGCGCGGCCATCGATGATGTTCCTCTGGCTGCAGCAGTGGGCAAGGGAAAACAGTCACCCTGTGCCATCGTTCACAACATTCTGCCGAGCAGTCCGAGAGTGCCGTGGGTGGTTGAAGTTCAGAAAGAATGCTGGTGAACATGCGGTCTGTGACACTTGCTGGCTGCCGGGCTGCACTGCTGGCTCGGTTCATGTCCTGCCTGTTGCTGTGTCAGTTCATGTCCTGCCTATCGACCAGCGACCTCAGGAGCTTCAAGCAAAGGCTCCGGCAGCATCTCAGTCCGGCTGAGAGGCAACAGCGGCTGGGCAGCCCAAAACAGACATGAGAACCCAAGTCCCAAAATGTGACGAGTAACTTCGGTCCTGACCAAGGACCCTGGATGATTACATCAGGCACCTCATGCTACAATGGCAGGATCGGGAGGCTGATCTGCGATGGGCAGCTCTTAGTGTTCAGCTACGAACAAGTTTGAGTTCCTCGTCTTGCCATGCATGGGTTGCTGCTTTTTTGTGTACAACACTAAGCACACTTCGGTTTTCTTGCCCAGCTTTGCAAGAAAGGAATGGGGGTCCGACTCCGGGACATCCAGCGGTCCCTGAGTGTAGTCTTGATCAGGGCCGACGGCCTGGGCCAGGCAAAGCACAAGTGCCCAAGGTCTATGACGAAGACTCATGGCTTTGAAGCCCTGCTGCGTCCAAGCTTGTCAGTGCTCATGCTTTGGGCCCAGGGCCATGCGCTGGCGTTTGAGATCAAGGATGCAGATGTCTACAAGAATACAAATTCCAATGTGGAGGGAATTTCTCGGCTTCTCGACAAAGTCTACAACAACTGCAATCAAGCACTTCCTGTCCACATCTGCATCGTACAGGACAACTGCAGTCGGGACTGCAAAAACGGTCTCCTCCTGTCCTGGTGTGTCAAGCTCCATTTGCTGCAGGTGTGTGAGAGGATAAGCCTGCAATATCCCAGCAAGGGGCACACTCACGGGCCACTTGATGGGCTCGGAGGGCAGGCTGTCACCAAATGCAGTGCCTGCGAGTTCTCCGATGCTGACAGTTTGGTGGGGATCTACGATGGGTTCCTGCAGCAGTCCACTGTGGATGGGGGAGCAAGCTTCAGAGGTGCCTGGAAGGGCAACTCGGCAGCTTAACTCAGAGGATTTTTGGATCTGTTTTGTGTCCTCAGTTGAAGTAGCAGCCATGAATGGTTTGATCGCAAGGCGATGAGCAAGCCAACTGGCAGAGCTGGTGGGAGGAGGTCGGTTTGGTCTTCTCCAACCTGACAGGCCCGAAGGCCCCCCATTCGCTACTCGAGCTGCATGGAACCTCTTTTCTGCTGGAACAATTTGTTGAACCGGAGCAGCAGACCCTAAACCCGAAAGTGTCGGAAGCAAGGTTCGAGATCACGACCTTGAAAGATCTCGGCTACCTGCAAGTGCCTGTGACAACATGGCCAGGTGCCCCACCGTCCCATCCTGATGATGTAGTTTGTGTGGTGCGCCAGCGAATGGCTTCACGGAGGCATTTTCAAGTCTGTCTTCTGGTACCTGGGACAGAGGTTCCGGCGCTGCGAGCCAGATTGTCAAGGCAGCCGTCAGGTGTTTACCCGCGAAAAGCTGTGAAGGACCGGGACAAAGTGGTTGCGAAAGCATTGCAGGCTCACCGAGAAGGGGGCATCAATGCCGCTGTGCTGTAAACTCTAAGTAATTGATTTTCTTTGCTTCTGGCACTGGTCTGCCAAGTTCTTCGGGAAGCCAAGGATGCTGCTCGTGATTTCTTGGTCGGCTGGGCCAAGGGCACTTTGAGACGACACCCGCGACCTGCCCAGTATGAGTTCTTGAACCACAACAGGCCATCTCAAGAAGGGATTTGAGTCATTCCTGTTCATTTTGTAAAGCAAGAGTTTGCTGCAGCATGCAGATGAGCTGTGAATTGAGTGTGGGTTTGCGGCTTAAACTGCCCTGACAAGGCATGCGTTTGATGCTCTTGCTCCTGCAGCTGCAAGGGCTCCACTGGCACCAGAAGAGTACCGGCCGATACATGTGCAGGCAGATGGAGGAGGCAACTTGCCCCCAGGGCCTGAGGACGATGAAGCAGACGAGCTGCCGGAGTAAAAGTGTCACAGCACAGGCCTACATAAAGGGTTGCATCACTATTAAACCGAAGGGCACTTGACTGCATGTTGTGACAGGCCTGATGTGATCCCTTAACCAGAACATGCCTTGGGATGGCATGCATGATGCGACCCCTAAACCAATAAAACATAACATGGTATGGGATGACATGTGTGATGCGACCCCTAACCCCCTAAACCACAACATGGCATGGCATGTTATGCATTATGTCACCCTAAGCCCCTAAAACAGAACATGACATGACATGCCTGATGTGACATGACTCACTAGCCCTAAACCATGTATGATGCAACCCCTAAACCAATAAAACATAACATGGTATGGGATGACATGTCTGATGCGACCCCTAAACCCCTAAACCACAACATGGCATGGCATGTTATGCATTATGTCACCCTAAGCCCCTAAAACAGAACATGACATGACATGCCTGATGTAACCTGACTCACTAGCCCTAAACCATGTATGATGCAACCCCTAAACCCGTAAACCAGAACAGGACATGGCATGTCATGCATTATGTGCCACGGTTTAGGGTTTTGGGTTTAGGGTTCCAGAACATGACATGGCATGACATGACATGCCTGATGTCACATGATACACTAGCCCTAAACCCTTAACCATGACCTCTAAACCCGAGGACCTCAACGGCCCTAGATCTCTCAACTGTTACTACGACTAAGTGTTTTGGTACACAAACCTGTATTCAAGTCATCTGAATTGATGGTTTTGCCACAAATTACAGAACGCAACTGGTTGCAATCTGTTTTTTGTGGCAGAAACCTGCAACTAAGAATCATCTCAATTCATGGCTGTCTGAGAAAACTACAGAACCCAACCGGTTGCAATCTGAGTCTTGCTACATAGAACGGTATTAGCCTTTCAAATGTATGGATTTGGTATATAGGTGGCTATAGATGGCATTGGACCGGAGTCTAAGGATGTACTACTGTGCGACTGGGGAATTTGTCTAATGCAGCTGTGATGCAGGAAGCCTGGAGGGAAGCACTTGACTACTTCTTCGGCAGTGCTATGACATCCAAGAAATTCCAGGCCGGGCAGGGGTCGGTGCAGCTTGGTTGAGAGTTAAGACTTGTCATGATTCGGAGGATGCAAAAGAACCCACGAGCACCTGGCAGAGCAGGATTTAAGGATGTTTGATGGTGCCCCAGGCTTTTGATTGTCCTGCATCCGCTCGGTTCACTGCTCAAAGAAACCGCTTGCCTTAGACTCGTCCCTGTGCGACTTCTCTCTGCAGCCTTAGACTCGTGCCTTCACGACTTCTCTCTGCAATGACGGACCTCTCCTTACCGAAGAGAGCGAGATTCGTGGAGAGGATGAAGCAGAGACCGGAGTACAAAGTCATGAAAGCTGCAGAGGCCAAGATGTGCCCTACAAATGTGCGATGCCCAACTCCGGAAGCCATGGTATACACCCCGAAGAGACCTTGGGAGACCCAGGCATGCATTTGGCGCCGGCAGATCAGGCAGTACAGGCAGACGGACGATGAGACAAAGGGTCAGATGAAAAAGGCAACGGAGGAGCAAGTGCTCTGCTTTGTTTCCTGAGATCCTTCATGGCCGAAAATTAAGCATAAGATGGTGTGCGAGTGTACAGTGCCGTCTACGCACACAAGATGACCCGGGGCTGGTGGGTGCAAAAGCAATGCTTTCCGAGACTCCAGCAGCAGTAGTAGTAGTGGGTCCATGTCGCTGCGGCTTGTGTGCAGTGCACTGCTGTGAATGCAGGACATAACTGCTTGACTGTGACAGTTTGTTTTGTCTGGGCAGGTCCGACCAATCTGCTTGCGACAGCCGATGCCCGGAGTTGGAGCAGGCGGGCCTGTAGTGCTCTGCCCCTTTTTGCATCAGGACTTGTGCAATCGCCTGAACACTGACTTCCACATTGCTAGTGCTCTGCCCTACACACCCTAGCTCGTAAACCCCAACAGGAAATGATGTGTATGCCATGACATGGGCACTGAAGCCGAAACCGAACTGACTGGTCTGCATCTCTTATCCCTAACCCCCAATGCCAAGCCTGCAGCCGTACCCTCACAGTCGTTTTTTTCCATGCACACTGCAGAAGCAGAGGACGAACGGAGACAGGAAGCACACAATGATCTGAACAGTGGTTGAGTCAAGTAGAGAGAACATTCCGAACTCTAGTTGCTAATCATGGCGTGGCAATGCTTGCTCTGCACAACGCGCCGAACTTACCGGCGTGACAAGATGTGCAGCAGGTGCAGGCCAACAAAGCGAGGATGCAACAACAGGATGGTGCCGACGATTAGGTTACGGAGGAAGCTCAGTCTCGACGGAGTGACTCAGAAAAGACGGGCGGTGGACAACCATGTCGAGACTTACCAAGAGCACATAAACCATGTCGAGACTTACAAAGAGGCCCTCTTGAATCTCTTCAACGATCTGCGGGCTTTCCTGACAATGGCTGACTTGCATTCGATCATGTGCAATGCCCACAACATGCTCGATAACCTGAAGCCCAATCCTGGTGCTATACCTCCCTTCAGCAGAGAATCTGCTTTGGCTCTGGTTTTTGCTGGGATGGACTTGTCAGCCAGGGTTTCAAGTGACGACATGGACAAGTTAAAGAAAATCCTGCTGTGCAGCCTTAAGCAGAACAAGGCACGAGTGATTGCAGCGCACTGCCAGTGGATCAATGCCACGAACTTCATGAGGGGCTCACTTTTGGGGGATTGAAGATGCACAAACGATGTGTCTTTTGCTGGGGACCTGAGATGCTTCTGGGGTATTGATGAAGAAAAAAGTGAGTGCCAGGGCAGTGTTAAGCACCGAAAATCCGAAGAAACTCTTGCAATCAAATCGAAGCTGGGATGCTCCATAAACACCACAGTCACAGTCAATCCTCAGCTCAGCTCCGACTCCCCTAACCCCCCAACCCCAACCCTTTTTCACTACGAGGCTGATGGCAGTTCCCTTGCGGCCTCCCTGCCGCTCTTGCGCAGGCCGGGTTTAGACATGCATCAACCCTCACTTTACCTGTAGTGGCTGTGGTGCGAGACATTTATGCAGAGACCTGATCTAATTGATCTCCTGCTTTGACAGTTTCACCCTCGGACGCATACCAGCTTGCACCATCCGGACTTCCTGCAGGCTGTAAGAAGAGCTGGAGCCTAACATCTGGCGGTGCGGTTCTTTGCAGCCAACATGTCCGCCCATGCTTGACATGTGACTTCCTGTGCATGCTGGCCACAAATCTGTACCAGGTGAGCCCCAATGCTTACGAGGCACACATGGGTGGCTAGATCATGATGTGTGTGGTCTTATTCTGGAAGCCGTCCTTTTTGGATGACGAGCAAAGTTCATTAGCGTTTTCATGTATCCGGGCCTTTCAATCTTCCGTCCACGACCGTGTGCCATGAAACAATGGCTCTTTGCAAAGGATCGTCTTGTGCGACTTCATAGGCACCCTAAACCCCAACCCCCCAACCCGAGCCGAGATGGGACCCCTAAACCCCTAAACCAGAACAGGACATGGCATATCATGCATTATGTGCCGCGGTTTAGGGTTTTGGGTTTAGGGTTCCAGAACATGACATGGCATGACATGACATGCCTGATGTGACATGATGCACTAGCCCTAAACCCTTAACCCTGACCTCTAAACCCGAGGACCTCAACGGCCCTAGATCTCTCAACTGTTACTACGACTACGAAGTTACAGGTCGCAACTGGTTGCAATCTGTGTTTTGCCACAGACGCCTGTATTCAAGTCATCTGAATTGATGTTTTTGCCACAAGTTACAGAACGCAACTGGTTGCAATCTGTATTTTGCCACAGAAACCTGTATTCAAGTCATCTGATTTGATGGTTTTGCCACAAGTTACAGAACGCAACTGGTTGCAATCTGGTTTTTGCCACAGAAACCTGTATTCAAGTCATCTGAATTGATGTTTTTGCCACAAGTTACAGAACGCAACTGGTTGCAATCTGGTTTTTGCCACAGAAACCTGTATTCAAGTCATATGAATTGATGTTTTTGCCACAAGTTACAGAACGCAACTGGTTGCAATCTGTATTTTGCCACAGAAACCTGTATTCAAAATTCCAGTCATCTGAATTGATGGTTTTGCCACAAGTTACAGAACGCAACTGGTTGCAATCTGTATTTTGCCACAGAAACCTGTATTCCAGTCATCTGAATTGATGGTTTTGCCACAAGTTACAGAACGCAACTGGTTGCAATCTGTATTTTGCCACAGACCTTGTATTCCAGTCATCTGAATTGATGTTTTTGCCACAAGTTACAGAACGCAACTGGTTGCAATCTGTGTTTAGCTACACAAGCCTGTATTGAAGTCATCTGAAATGATGGTTTTGCCACAAGTTACAGAACGCAACTGGTTGCAATCTGTGTTTTGCCACAGAAACCTGTATTCAAGTCATCTGAATTGATGGTTTTCCAACAAGTTACAGAACGCAACTGGTTGCAATCTGTATTTTGCCACAGAAACCTGTATTCAAGTCATCTGAATTGATGGTTTTGCCACAAGTTACAGAACGCAACTGGTTGCAATCTGTTTTTTGCCACACAAACCTGTATTCCAGTCATCTGAATTGATGTTTTTGCCACAAGTTACAGAACGCAACTGGTTGCAATCTGTATTTTGCCACAGCAGAAACCTGTATTCCAGTCATCTGAATTGATGTTTTTGCCACAAGTTACAGAACGCAACTGGTTGCAATCTGTATTTTGCCACAGAAACCTGTATTCAAGTCATCTGAATTGATGGTTTTGCCACAAGTTACAGAACGCAACTGGTTGCAATCTGGTTTTTGCCACAGAAACCTGTATTCAAGTCATCTGAATTGATGTTTTTGCCACAAGTTACAGAACGCAACTGGTTGCAATCTGTTTTTTGCCACAGAAACCTGTATTCAAGTCATATGAATTGATGTTTTTGCCACAAGTTACAGAACGCAACTGGTTGCAATCT